GAATTACAAAATGTTACTAATAAAAACACCATATTGACTTCAGTTTATGTGATCAGTACCAGCTACAAAATATTTCAAAATAAAAACAATACGGTAGTAAATGCCGATTCGCTGGAGAAATTTTCCCTTCGATGTTTTGATTAATGATTCTTTTAAAAAGAAGATTATTAATTTTTAATACCAGTGGAAAATACTGATCTTCTGTAGAACTTTCAAGTTGTTTATTTTGCAGTAATTATGTAGGGGGGAAAGCACTAATACTGATCAATATTAAATATTCAAGCGTAATTCATACATTATACTTATCATATTTGAAACAAACAATTATATAAATAGAAATTCTTATTAAAATGTTCTCCGAAAAACATTCAGTATTTTGTTTTGGAAAATATTGTACACAATCAATATAACAATCTGACATTTTAAGTAAAATTATGATAGTACAGTACAAGCAAACTTACCAGATATATTCAAAATTTTTTTTTTTTCTATTTCCATGACGGGAAAGCTATTACTTCCTTTTCGAACAAGGTACGTACGAAAAAATTCCCAATCATTAGAACTGTTAATAAAGGAATCGGATAAAACAGTAACGAAGTACGTAACATTTCAATTTTCATTTTTAAAATGAAAATACACTGTAAGAATCTTAACAATCACATTTTCAATAGATCTTTTGAATGTCGCTAAATTTGGTTTTCCTAATTGGGTAATGGACTCATTTTAAAGCAATTAACCAGATTTGGCTATGTGTGTTCTGCGCTAAACATTTGCAATTATTTTCAGATTATACGAAACCAAAAGTTAAAAAAAATTTAATAAAATCTAATTTTTTTCATTTGCTCGTTTGTTAGCGGTTTCAGTTAAGAGCAATATAAAATGTTCTATCTGCACCTGCAAACATTTTTCACGCTGATCTCTTCATTCTATTTGCATGCGCCAACGACCAAGGTTCCAATTTAAATGTCAAAGAGCATTTGAATTGTGCTGAACATTCTATTTTTAATGATGTAATATAAAGTTTATATATAATATTCCATTGTAAGTTTATTAAGAATTATTGGCAATAGCAACCAACTCTCGACCTCAGCGAAGAAATATACATTGTTGTTGGAAATCGAAAACCGAATCGAGATAATTTCAGGTTTAGATCTATGCAATTTCTAAATAAGCGTGTTACTTGAAATAATAGACTTGCATGTTCCTTAATTTGAACTGAAGACCCACCGTGTAGGCGGGGCTGATGCAAGTTAAATCTGTCGAGGCTCAAAATCTTCCTATTGGCGTGGTGTGGAAGTCAGCAGAAGGATGTGCCGGCTCATGTGTCGTCCTCCTCACTTGACCGTGGCTTAAAATTACGAGGTTCGCACCAGGAACCCTCGTGTTGCTTCTAGTGCGACGTTAATAAAACCAATAAATCAATTAATCCTTAATCCGAATTGCTTTGGAGCCGACAGGTTGATTTTGGTAGCGTACCATAAGGGTTTAATCATCATAGTCGCCTTTTTTTTTATATAATCTGTTTCAAACTTATGTCGGAGAAAAAAACCCACATAGCTTATTTAATTTTCCTTAATATTAATTATTAATAATATTAATTCGTGTGGGCTTCACGAATCCGAAGGACCCTAGTAATCTTTTTCTTTGCCTTGAGGTTTTTTTTGTCTTTGGTAAATATGGGTGACGCGTCCCTGGGGTACCTTTCCTATTTTCCTGGGATATTTCCTGAGATCCTTTTCTATTTTCGACCCTCCTTGACAACCACTTTTTATCTTCAATTTTTTCCAACGTCTAGATCACGGCTCTACTTTATCTGGAGCAGCATAGCCACATCTGGCTCTTGCGCCATTACACCACACTATCTCACTCACTCACCATATACACCTTTAACCGATCTTGCTCCCGTCTAGTAATTCCCCTCAGGGACTTGCCTTTTTTTTATTAAGTATGAGCATCATGACCCGGAGATACCCAAGTTCATTATCATGGGGTTTACTGTCAGTGGTGAACACAGGTGAAGTGTCCGCAGGATACCCTAGTGATACTTCTCTATTTTCGATCCTTCTTTTTGTCAACCATTTTTTTTTTTTTTTTTTTATCTTTTTCCATATTTTCAAACGTCCTGACCTCAGTTACATCTTGTTTGGCGCAGCATAGCCCCACCTGGCTCTTGTGCTATTAAACTTCACAATCACTCACACACCATCTTCCAATAGTTTATCGTCTTGTGTTCCTTTTAGTAGGAATTATAAGAATTAGATTTATATTCAATACAATCTATTACTTTTGATATTTCTTCTATTGATTTAATGACATGGTATTTCAATCGGAAAAAGGGGTTACTTTATCGTTTTAGTGATCTGATCTCGAGTCCTTGCCAATAACTTATCTCTCTCAGTATATCTAAGGTATAATTACTCAAATCAAACACACATCAAATGAACGGCGTTATTTGCTTTTCCCTACCTTGAACGTAATAATTTTTGCAAGACTTTGCATCTCAATTGTGAATATCGATGCCGAATCCATTGTTGAAACCAAATTAAATTCGTTACGACCGGAAGCCCTTGCAGCAACATACCTTGGACCGATACATATTGCTTATTATGAATCCTTAACTAAAGAAGCAAATGTCCTTCAGTATTAATTTGAGATTTAATCTGAGCCATCCTAGAGAATTTTTCAAAGGAATTGGCTACCGTTACATAACATGAATTTATTTTGCTTGTTTTTTTTTTTATATAAATTAACATTTCGCTAGAAATACCCAAGATAATACTACCGAAAATGCCTCTTAGTTTTGTCAATGATCAATATTAAGACGAAGACTATACCTGAACTGATACCTTATTTGCTAAATTTCTGCAAAAAGTGAATTGAAGCCCGATTAGATTTTTTGCTCTGCAGTTTTCATTATTCCATACGATAGTTTTTGACAGAACCCAGTCGCGATTCTGCAACTCACCGACTACTTTTCTACGAACAGGCTACCACAGCCCAATAACATATGAAATGAGCTTGAAATAGTCATATTTTATTACAAAGTTAATTTAATTTTATTACATCAAAAAGATTATTTGATTAGTTTAATCTAAACCTTGAATTTCTGTCTCAGGAACAGGTTACTGATTGCTCTTTCGAAATTTTCACTACACTCGGATACTAATTCTATACATGCGCTATTGCTTCATTTATCAAAATTGAGTTCTATGTCATATAAGGATACAGAAACTCATTTACATTGAATGTGTAGCAGCCGATCATTGGAAGAATAGGAAATTGAACAAGCAACTTTTCGGCTTGAAAGTCATGACAATCAAAATTACATGTTGTTGGTTGGTTGGATGAATTTGTGACACCGAGTCCTCTAGGGATATGTTGTGCCAAACACAAGGTTAAGGAAAAAAAACTACAACTATCAGTGTTTTTTTTAAGTAAGAACCGTTTTGATATTAAAAAGAACAAGAGCAGTTTTTTTAAAACTATTTTATCTTTATAAGAACCCCCTTTACCTTAATCTACTATTCAACATAATTACCTCCCATATTTAAACAGGTATTATATCGTACAATCAGATTTTGTATTCTATCCTCACAGAAATCTGTCCCGTGATGGTCTAATTACTGCAACAAGGCAGTTCTGACACCAACACCATTGTCATGGCACTAAATGCCTAGATTCTTTTTCAAGTGGATGAATAAATGGTAGTCACTGGGTGCCAGATCAGGGCTATACTGAGGGTGATTATGTTATTCCCAGTCATATGAGACGATGCGATCTCGAGTTTGACGAGACATGTGGGGAAGGGGGTCTTATCATGCACGAAACAATCCCTTTACCGAGAATATCACGCCTTTTGTTTTAGATTGCACGACCCAGTTTAGCAATTATTCTCGAAATTTATTGTGACACTTGTAGGAAAATAATCGATAAGACCCCCCCCCCCCCCTCTGTCTATCTCAAAACAAACAAAGACAGTGCATATGATTTTGAGTGCTGAAATTGTTTGAGCTTCACTTTGGGGGGGGGGGGGGGAGGATGCTGAATGCCTCAATTTTTATCTTTAAATGCTTTCATTCGTTTTCTAACCATTCCATCGTTCATAGTATTTTCTCCATGCACTTATTTAAACTGCTGATGAATTTCAGCAGCTCACGCCTTTAATATGCAGAAAACGAATAACAGCTCGTATTTTACAATCGAAGGCGTATTCTATTGTGTGAGGCATTTTAAATCCGCACAAACAAACGTAAGCACAGACGAATGCTCCAGTGAATGGCGTCTGTGATAAACCAACAGATATAGGTACTCTATGCAACTGCTTGGAATGGCGACAGTAGTACTGTAGGTGCCATATTTAAAAACGGCACTTACTAAAAAAAGCGTGCCTAGTATATTACTATCAAATCCAAATTATTTTAATTAACAAAAAGCTTCTGTATTAAGTGCATATTTTTTATTAGTAGTAAGTTGGCAAGGAGTGCTATTTCCTTAAAAGTAACCAATTTGATCAGAAAATAGCTACTTAAAAAAATCTAATAATCGAGAATAAGGTATCATTACTAGTAATCCTCATATGGCTTTTAAATCGAAGTTAATTTGAATCAGTTATAACAACTGTTAGGCAGTAGAAAAAATATTTTTATAATTATTAGCACATTTCGGACACATCACGAATTCACTCGTGTTCTGCGCGCGTCATCTGTTATGGATGGGTCACGACGCAATTCGTGAAAATACGATATATTGCATATTTAATCTTCAATGATTCTTATTCACTATTTATTTATTGATTGATTTTATTAACGTTACAATAGAAGCGATACGGGGGCTATTGGCGACGGACCTCGTAATTTTGAACCTCGATCAAGTGACGAAGACGACACCCGAGCTGGCAGCTCCCTCTTCTAATTTTTATACCACGCCAACTAGAGGATTCGAAAGAACTTGGAGCCTCGACAGATTTAACTGCCTCAGCCCCGGCACACGGAGGGTCTTGATGCCGCTAACCGTGGCATCAAGGCTCGAACCCACAATTCGACGAAAACCGCCGGACTCGAGCCCGCAACCATGACTACTAGGTTACAGCGGCTACTATTCACTATTTAATGAGATTAGTTTATGTGGCTCTTTTATCACCTAAGGGATGAGTATCCCATTAAAATAACGCAGTTTTTTTTAGGAAAATAGATCATTTTAAACTATTGAATAAAATCAAGACGTCTCAGTAGTCATATCGTACAGTAAGTGCCGTTGACAGACTTGTGTGTGGTAAATCCTTTAAAAAATCAAGTTCAAAGATTTCATGCATTTTATTACAATGTTAAATCTATAAAGTGTTTTTAAATAAATTAAAAAAAATACGAAAACTCTTATTTTTAATGTTACAAAACTACCCAAAACGTGACATTACGTCTGCGCTTCTCGTCAACAAGCTATATTTTTTTTATCCATCCTCAGCTTCATGTTTTCTAAAAGAAAAAAAAAAAATCATTCAAAGGACTAGCCATTATACACCATTTATTCTCACCGTAATTCTTGACGTTCTCTCTTTAAAGCAATTATTTTTTTTCATATATTTAAAATTACCTGAATTAACTTGATTCATCCGTTATTTTTGTGCAGTCATGAAAAAAACACTTTCAATTACTTCAGAAATTCTTATCGCCCCTCGATAAAATTGGTATTATTGACAAGAGCTCAAATAAATTGGTTATTATTGTCTCACTTAGAAGCAACAAGAGGGCTATTGGTAACGAACTTCGTAACTTTGGACCTTGGTTTAGTAATAATGACGACAACTGGGTCCCACGTTGTCAAGCTGCCACACCATTTCAACAGGAGGACTTGGAGTCTCGATCTATTCAACATGCATCAGTTCCGCTACACGGCGGGTCTTTAATGGCATCAGGATGTGAACACATGACTCGACGATTACAACGCCAACCGCGAGCTTGCAACTATGACCATTAAGCTACTGCGATCACGACTTTAAATGGAACTGAATTAGAATGACGAAGAATCAATAAAAGTTTTAGTTGGTAATGTTAATTAATTATTTTATCATGTAACTGATACTACACAATAAATTACGCTCTATTTCAAATATCATAAAATTCAGATGAAAAGTTACGGGGTTCACATAAAATGGCGGTCTCTTAATGTTAATAAATGTTATAAAACTTTTTACTCAACACTTTTAAAAAATGCTTACATCAATCGATAAATACGAGGGATGTTCCGGAAGTAAGTTTCGTCATTTTTTTCAGAATGAAAATTTATTGCATAAAAAAATAAACCATGTCATTATGAACTATACAGCTTGTACTATTTTTCGACAGAGTCGCAATTGTCATTGAGACATTTGTCACAGTGTGCAATCAGTTTGAAGAAACTAGTGTTTTAAAACTAATACGCAATTTTAAAACTAATACGCATAATCCCTGCTATGCAAGGGATTGTCGCACAGCCTGCTCCTCCGCAGCATTGGTTTGGATGAACCTGAGCACGACTAATATGCAGCGTGGACGCCACGTCTGACATTGTTGGGTGCCTATCCCTTAATATCTTGTCCTGTACTCTAACAGTGTTGCTTTCCTTTATGGATGTGGAGGGACGCCCTTTTTGATCGTCATCCTCCGTACTCTGCTTTCCTGCACTGAACAGGCAACACCAGCGTCCAACCATTTGACAACACATGATCTGTTCACCATACACGGTCAGAAGGCGTTCCTGGATAACTAGTCCCATATGCTCATTCATACCGGATAACAGCATGCATTTCCTCTGCCGATCACGTTGTCAGTCACGTCTCGGGCACGCTGGTGTGCTGCTACTCTCTTTTCTTCGTCGCTCAGTGCACGTGTCATTCCTCCCCCACTGACGCTACTTCCATTGTTGAGCCAGCAGCGGGTTTGGATTCTTATGGTGGTTGTTTGTTTCATCTGGTGTACCATGTGCTCTTTCAAAAAAAATGACAAAACTTACCTTCTGAACATCCCTCGTATAGTTATTTTCCAATTCTAAAAGTACAAACAACCAAAAAAGTAAATATTATTATGAAAAATGAATTATCAAACACACTGTTACAAAAATGTGAACTGTAACGAACCATTATTTTTAGATATTTCGAATTTTTATGCTCTTTTAAAAAATCCCAATAGAAATTTAAAATTTTGCATAAAGTTACCTTTTAATCAACAGTTCAGGAAATATTCAAGTTACAATCTTGGTAAAAAAGCATTAAGGGCTGTATATTAATTGATAATTTTTAAATATCGATCCACTTGCATCTTGTTATTCGAAAATGGGGGGGGGGGAATATATTTATAAATTTTAATTTTAAAAAA